TACCACTAACTGAGCAATTATGTAGAAGCCGGCCTTAGATCTCCCTCTGTAATAAGGAACAGAGGCTTGGAAGTATGACACTTGAAAAGACTTAGGAGATCTTTCATAGGAACAGCCCCCTTCCCCTTGGCTACATCCATATGCTTGTCTGAGATAATGTATTGTGAGATGAATATGGATGTGTGCGTACTTTGAAGTCGCTGGCCAACTTATGGCAATCCCATGCATTTCATAAAGTTTTCTTTGGCAAGGAATACTCAGAGGCGGTTTTGACAGTTCGTTCCTTTGAAATGCAGCCTGTAGCACCTGACATTGGCATTGGCAATTTTCCATCCAACCCTAACTATTGTTGACTCCGTTCAGTTTTCAAACTTAACAGTTTGTGACTGTGTAATGCTATAAGGCAGCCCTTGATTTTATTTATAACTAGCTATCCCCTGCCATGTGTTGCTGTGGCCCAGTCTGTGTATATGTGTTGTGTGTATATATATGTGTGTATATGTGGTTTTGCGCATGTGTTGTAATGTATTGTTTGTTTTTTTGCTTCTTAAGTCTCTTGTCCTGTGTTTTTCTGTATTTTTATGAGTGATGGTCACTCGTTGGCCTGGTAGGTGTATTTTGTCCAAATTTGGTGCCAATTCGTCCAGTGGTTTTTGAGTTATGTTAATCCCACAAACGAACATTATAACTAGCTGTCCCCTGCCATGCGTTGCTGTGGCCCACTCTGGTAATCTGGAAAATAAAGTAATGAGAAGGTACTGGTTTCTATTATATGTAATTTCTTTAGGCTTGTGGTCAAACAGTATTTTTTGTTGTTTCTTTGACAGTGTTGATGTAGAGATTGTCTGGTTTGCCAACTCTGGAACATGCAACATTTCTATAGTACTATATCGGTGTGTGTGTGGATCATATATATCTGTCTATATATCTATCTATATTTATGGCTGGATGGTTCTTTGTCAAGAGGGCTTGGATTATGTTTTCTTGCCCTGGTGAAGGGAGCTGGACTGGATGGCCTTGAGTATTTTCTGTTGGTCATGGGGGTTCTGTGTGGGAAGTTTGCCCCAATTTTGTTGTTCGTGGGGTTCAGAATACTCTTTGATTGTAGGTGAACTATAAATCCCAGTAACTATAACTCCCAAATGTCAAGGTCTATTTCCCCCAAACTCCATCTATGTTCATATTTGGGCATATTGAGTATTCTTGTAGAGCTTGGTCCAGATCCATCATTGTTTGAGTCCACAGTGCTCTCTGGATGTAGGTGAACTACAGCTCCCAAACTCAAGGTCAATGCCCACCAACCCTTCTAGTGTTTTCTGTTGGTCATGGGAGTCCTGTGTGCCACGTTTGGTTCAATTCCATAATTGATGGAGTTCAGAATGCTCTTTGATAGTAGGTGAACTATAAATCCCAAGAACTACAACTCTCAAATGACAAAATCAAAAAAAATTGAGTGATGGACATACATTGGGTTGTTAGGTGTACACTGTCCAAATTTGGTGTCAATTCACCCACTGGTTTTTGAGTTCTGTTAACCCCACAAACGAACATTACATTTTTATTTATATAGATAGCTACACTGAGAAATCAAGTGTTTTACTTTTTTAATTCCCTCTGCCTACACCAGGAAGATTTTAGACTCATAATTTAACATGCTAACAGTCAGGTTTGTGAATGAAGAGTCATCCTTCCCCTTCACACTCCAAAGAGAGCATCAGGCTTCTTGGTTTATCTCCCAGCTGATGCTGCACCCAATTCATGTAATTTATTCAGAGGCCAGCTCATGGAAACTACAAAAAACCAATGGCGTTATCGTCCTTCCTTTACACTGGAGACCTCAGATGACATCTGCTTTAGTAACAATAACAACAAAAAAGGGCATAATTTAAAGCAAAATGGGGGATGAGGGTTGACGACAAGCAGCAGTAATTCAGGAATGGCTTGCTCTACAAAGTCAATAATTTCGCAGTGCCATCTGTGATATACTTAATTGTCTTGAAGACAATGGTCAGAATTCTGTTGGGCAGTTTTGAATGCGTAACAGAGTTTCACACTCATGGCTGATTTGTTTGCATGGTCCCTATACCGACCTTTGTTTAGGGCAGTGGTTCTCAATCTTCCTAATGCCATGACCCCTTAATACAGTTCCTCATGTTGTGGTGACCCCCAACCATTATTTTCGTTGCTTCTTCATAACTCTAATTTTGCTACTGTTATGAATCGTAATGTAAATATCTGATATGCAGGATGTATGTCAAATTTGGCACAAATACTTGATACGCCCGCATTTGAATACTGGTGGGGTATTGGGGGGGGGGGGGTTGATTTTGTCATTTGGGAGTTGTAGTTGCTGGGATTTATAGTTCACCTACAATCAAAGAGCATTCTGAACTCCACCAACAATGGAATTGAACCAAACTTGGCACACAGAGCTCCCATGACCGGAAAATACTACAAGGGTTTGGTGGGCATTGAGTTTGGGAGTTATAGTTCACCTACATCCAGAGAGCACTGTGGACTCAAACAATGATGGATCTGAACCAAACTTGGCACAAATACTCAATATGTCCAAATGTCAACACTGGTTGAGTTTGGGGGGAAATAGACTTTGACATGTGGGAGTTACGGTTGCTGTGATTTAGAGTTTACCTACAATCAAAGAGCATTCTGAACCCCACCAATGATAGAATTGGGCCAAACTTCCCACACAGAACTCACATGGCCAACTGAAAACACTGTGTTTTCTGATGGTCTTTGGTGACCCCTCTGACACCCCCTCACAACCCCTCCAGGGGTCCTGACCCCTAGGTTGAGAAACACTGGTTTATTGGCTACATAGGAACCATGGAAGTCTACCAATCCTCTCTTACTGGGTAGCAGCTCGATATCACAACCACTGCAGTGTCCATTACCCCGTCACTCAAGAAACTGCTAACTGATGTTCTCAACCACCCCTCATATGAGCAATCTTTAACAAGAGGTGAGGTTATGACAGGGACTGTACTTCTGCCTATTAAACTAGAGATGGGAATGTCCATCAAAAACTTCCCAAACAACAGGGAAGCAGACTCTGATCAAGTACAGTAGCTGTTTTCTAGTAAGTGGAATTGTTTAAAATGTTTAAAAGCAATGCTTTTGGGTTTGGAAAGATTAGCTGTTTACAAGAAACTTTGCCTGGGGGACATCTGATTGTATATACTCAGTCTTCGAAGAGGCTCTTTCCGTGTCCCCCTACCTAAAAGTATACTTTTTTAAAAAGTATAAAAGTACCATGGCACTACCTAAAATAATCCCACACCTTATGTAATTGTAGAGCAGAACAGACAACTCCGCATCTGTCTGCTTGTCCACAATGCCCTGCCTCATGTACAGAGGAAGAATTGTTGGAGGCTACAGACAATGCCATTGCTGTTGCCCGTTTTTGGTCGAAAGATATTTATCCACCTGCGGTCCTTCTATTTTTATCAGTTTTATACTAATTTATACAATGCTTTTGATACGAAATAAATAAAAAAGTAAGAGGAATGGGGACAGTATAACCTGCATAGCACCGTATCTATGATGCTGATGCATTTATAACTGCTGAACAGGATTCCAGCAATAGGGTTTTAATATATATTTATATCCTGAACTTTGCACAATATATTAAACAGTTTTAAAATCCCGCAGTTTCCCTTCCCTGGCGGCGATGCAGAGGGACGAGGTGGGCCTGGCTAAGCACAGCTCTCCTTGGAGGTCGCTGGGGGCATGGCCTTCAGGAAGAGCTGTGCTTAGCTACGCCCAACTTGTCCCTCTGCATCGCCGCTCGCCACCAAGGAAGGGAAACTGCAAGATTTTAAAACTGTTTGTACGCTTTGCCAAAGTTACTTAATGGTTCTGAAAATCAAAATAACTGTGGGAGACATCCGAAAATAATTCCAAACAATGGATAAGTGGTTTCAATTTGGAATTGCTCCTCCCACTATTCCTGCATACTTCAAAACTGGTTCAAAAGGGAATTTAATCCAAATTAATTCCAATTTAAGAAGCTTCCGGAAGAACTCGAACAAGCCTAATACATACATACTAGGCCTGGGTAACAACGGAAAAATTTGTTTCTAAAATCGATTCGTTTTTGGGGGGTTTTTGCGTTTCGATTTTTAAAAGAATTCTGAAATTTTTCTTTTAAAAAGTTCGATATTTATGAAATTTCGTAAATTACAAAACAATACGAAACAATTACGAAACAATTACGAATCGATTCGTTAATGGCGGACGCGACTGCGCAATACGCTAAAAAACCTCCAAATGGGACAGGGGGAACTTCTGAAGCTTCCCTCTCCCTCTGTTGTTGACTGTTGGTGTGATATTTATAATTTTTTTCACTGATTAAACAAACAACAACTATAAAACTTGCCCCAGACATGCGGAAATAATAACGAAACGATTTCAAAACGATAACGAAACGAATACAAAACTAATTCGAAACAATTACGAAACGAATTTAAAAATTCGTATCGTTTTTTAGTTGCTCCTGAATGGTTCGTTATCGCTTCGTTATAAAAAAAATAACAAATTTTTAACGAATTACGAAATTATGAAACGAAACCGCCCAGCCCTCATACATACATACATACATACATACACATACATATACACACAGATATATATAAATATATAACATTATTTTATTTTCTCTCTCATTTTTTCTTTCTTTCTTTATTCTTACTCTTTTATCTCCAACTTCTCCTTCAACCATGTTCACCCACTTTCGTTGTATAAGAAACCAGTTATTGTAGTCATGTTAATGACTTTTTATCCTGGAATAATATGTGATGTCGTTTTATGTTTATTTGTTTGTTTATGTCAAAGTCATTCACTAATAAAAATGAATTGCAAAAAAATACTAATGCAGTTCTTATCAAGTTCCACACCAGCCTATGATGTGGTAGGATTCTGATTGATTAGTTCTTCTGTGAAAATGTGGTTCAAAAACAATATACCTGTGCTTTCTTTTGCAGGAGGACATTAAGTGTCCATCTTCTGTATCCGTCATCAATGACCAGACACAAGGAGAAGACTTAGAAGATGCCTTCTGCCCACCTGATGACCTTTCCTCCGATGAGGAGTATTACATGGAAGAGAGCAAAGCATCCCGCTTTAAGAAATCAGGCATACGCCGCATCAACAATATCAAAAAGGCCTTTTCGAGAGAGAACCTCCAGAAGACGAGGCAAAATTTTGGCAAGAAGGTCGACAGGCTTCGCACTAGAATCGTAACCCCAGAGAGGAGAGAGCGAATAAGGCAGTCAGGAGAGAGGTTGAGGCAAACTGGGATACGGTTCAAGAAAAACATATCAAATGCAGCACCAACCAAGGAGACATTTAGGAAGCACAAGAAAACCAAGGAGCAAGCAGAGGCCGAAAGTCCAGAAGAGATCCAAGAGTCTGCTGTTGATACAGCTGACACCGCAGTTGAAAGTGGAGATACTGAACCAGTTAGTGAAGAAATTTCCTATACTGAAGTGATCACTAAAGTGAAGAAAAACAAAGGTAATGGATCCAAAGCTCCTCAAGTGGACAACAAGATCGTGATGACCCCTGAGAAGGTTGTACTCAAGCCAGAGGTCAAACTGATGACATCTGAAACAATCATGCTCAAACCGGAGGTAAAAGTTACGCCTGGAAAGATCACACTGAAGCCACAGGCAAGAGAAGAGGAGGACGTTCTTCTACTAGATTTAAAGCAATCAATTTGAATGACTAAAATGTATCCGCTGTGGTGGTGTCACCATGACAAGGAAGAAAGAAATCCTTGAATATGGCAGGTGTACAACAGCGATTTTGAAACTTCCCTCATGGATCCCTATCATTTTTTCTGTCTTCCGAGCAAACCTTAAACCTCATCCACACATTGTAAAGGTCTGAGTGGTTTGGACTAGACATCAAACATGGACATGCTCTAGGAACATCTCCCCCATTGCAACCTGGTTGTGTTTGGAATCCTACTGGATAGTCTTCAGATTGTGTTTGGAATCCTACTGGATAGTCTCAACTAAAGTACATTCTTTCAATCAATAGTTGAATGAGTCAACCCAAAATCCAGTAGATCCAATAAGTTTTATGTCCTTTCTGATCTACAGTCCCCATCACCACAGCCAGCACATCACTGCAGGATGGGATTGTGAGAAAGATGGTTCTAGCAAGATCTTGAGGATGCCAAGAGAGAGAAGGCTGCTCTAGAAAAAGCCCAGCATGCTGCTCTCTTTTACCAGGGAGGTTAACTATAGCAGACAATTTCCTCATTGTTTTCAGTCCTTTTCTTTAAGAATCTTCAGTAAACTCCCAAACAATGTCAAAGTTGTTGTCGAAGGCTTTCATGGTTGGAATCACTGGGTTGTTGTAGGTTTTTCGGGCTATATGGCCAGGTTCTAGAAGCATTCTCTCCTGACGTTTTGCCTGCATCTATGGCAAGCATCCTCAGAGATTGTGAGGTCTGTTGGAACTAGGAAAATTGGGTTTATTTATCTGTGGAATGACCAGGGTGGGACAAAGGACTCTTGTCTTTTGGAGCTAAGTGTAAATGTTTCAACTGGCCACCTTGATTGGCATTTGATGGCCTGGCAGTTGTTTGGTGTGGCTTGTTAGTGCTGGGGGAATCTTTGGTTGAGAGGTGATTAGCTGTTCCTGATTGTTTCCTCTCTGGAGTTTCCCTGTGTTTGAGTGTTGTTTTTTGTTGTTGTGCTGTTCTAATTTTAGAGTTTTTTTAATACTGGTAGCCAGATTTTGTTCATTTTCATGGTCCTCCTTTCTGCTGAAATTGTCCACATGCTTGTGGATTTCAATGGCTTCTCTGTGTAGTCTGACATGGTGGTTGTTGGAGTGATCCAGCATTTCTGTGTTCTCAAATAATATGCTGTGTCCAGGTTGGTTCATCAGGTGCTCTGCTATGGCTGACTTCTCTGGTTGAAGCAGTCTACAGTACCTTTCATGTTCCTTGATCCGTGTTTGGGCAAAGCTGCGTTTGGTGGTCCCTATGTTCAGCAAAGGACAAGAGAGATTCTCCTCTCACTTCTGCAGGAGTCTACCGTATACCATGCAGCTGTGGACAAGTCTACAGAGGGACCACCAAACGCAGCAGCATTGCCCAAACACGAATCAAGGAACATGAAAGGCACTGCAGACTACTTCAACCAGAGAAGTCAGCCATAGCAGAGCACCTGATGAACCAACCTGGACACAGCATATTATTTGAGAACACAGAAATACTGGACCACTCTAATGTCAGACTACACAGAGAAGCCATCGAAATCCATAAGCATGTGGACAATTTCAACAGAAAGGAGGAAACCATGTTATTTGAGAACACAGAAATACTGGACCACTCTAATGTCAGACTACACAGAGAAGCCATCGAAATCCATAAGCATGTGGACAATTTCAACAGAAAGGAGGAAACCATGAAAATGAACAAAATCTAGCTACCAGTATTAAAAAAAACTCTAAAATTATAACAGCAAAACAACACTCAAACACAGGGAATCTCCAGAGTGGAAACAATCAGGGACAGCTAATCACCTCTCAACTAAAGATTTCCCCAGGCACTAACAAGCCATCAAATGCTAATCAAGATGGCCAATTGAAACATTCACACCTACCTCCAATAGACAAGAGTTCTCTTTCCCATCCTGGACATTCCACAGATATATGAACCCAATATTCCTAGTTCCAACAGACCTCACAACCTCTGAGGATGCTTGCCATAGATGCAGGCAAAATGTCAGGAGAGAATGCTTCTAGAACATGGCCATATAGTCCGAAAAACCTACAACAACCCAATGTCAAAGTTTCCATGACTGCTGTTTCAAAGCAACTGATCTAAAGATTTGTGGACAAAATTCTTTATAGTACATGTAGCTACTATGTCATAGCTACACTCTGTCTTCCAATCTGGAACCTCTATAATAACCAGGCAACTGAGTAAATGAGTTATGTGATGTGGATGAGCAGGGCTGAAGGATGATTTGTGTAGCTGTCTCCTGTCAGTGAGCCATGGTCCCACAATGTAGCTCGCTGGACTGGATGCATCATTTTTCAGCAGACCTCTCACTATCACCAGTTCTTCACTCAGTATAGCTGCCTTTCTTCTAATACATGTTTAAAGGGTGTTTGCAGTCATGGAAATGATATCACAATTGTAGATGTCTATGTAAAGCACTTGCAAGATCTACCTTAGGACATCACAACCACCTAACAGGATAAGACCCATGTGTGTTGCTTAAATTACTGAGTAAAAATACCTATATGCATATGCTATTTTAATTTGCAGCATTAAATGCAATCCTCCAGAGGGAATGCCGCTTCTGTGAGGCCCAGCCAGTAGTGAGGGATGCTGGGAGCTGCAGGTCAGGGCCGTACTTTGCCCAACTCTAATTTACAGGCTACGGGTATTCCTTTATCATCACGTGACACTCCAGCAGACATAAGAAAGTGATTTCCTTGGGGATATAAACATACTGTAAATGCAATTTATCACTCCAGGAATTAATGGTATTAATTCCCCCAGTGGTCTTTCTTCCATCTGTATTTTATGCACAGTGATAGGCAGAATAAATCTTATTAAATGACTTATCAGACATCTCAGGCTGACTCTTCAAATGTACTTGATGATAGGATGAGGAGAAATGAATCTATCAATAGAGAATAATAATATATTATAATTATAAACTTTATTTATACCCCGCCACCATCTCCCCAATGGGGACTCGGTGTGGCTTACATGAGGCCAAGCCCAAACACAAATAACAGCAACATAAAACCGAAAACGCAACCTGAAAACACAAACAGTAAACAATAACATCGTAATTACATAAAACATGTGAAAACATAACTTTATAAAATTACAATAAACACAATCACAGTGACAATGGGCGGGCTACATGTAAAATTTAAAAGAAAAAACTAATTTAAACTAATTAAAACTCGAGTGAGATAAAGAAGAAGCTGGTTATAGCGGAGGTTGTGGAATCAAGCTTTCCCACAAGTAGTGGGGACTCCAATGACAGAACATTGAGGCTGAGCAATAGTGTGAGGTTGTATACCTACTCACCAAAGGCGCAGCAGAAGAGCCAGGTTTTAAGGTTCTTTTTAAAGGTTTCTAGGGTAGGGGCTTTCCTAATCTCTCCAGGTAATGAGTTCCAGAGTCGGGGGGGGGGGGCATAGAGGAAAAAAGCTCTCTCCCTTGTACTTACAAGGTGAGCTTGAAAAACTGGCAGGGGCAAAAGAAGGGCCTCCCCACCCCAGAAGATCAGAGGGCCTGAGTTGGTTCATGGAGGGAGATGGCATGTTTTTTCTTGAAAAGTACAGTCAACATTTTCTCACACTCCCCTTGTTTGGAAAAAGTCGAGAGATTGTTGTTAAGTGACATTGATTGCCCGTGATCAGGAAATTAGAAATCTGTTTAGGGATGTAAAAGGTTTGCAGTCGCAAGAGAGGAACGGTAAATAAATCATTAAAAAGCTATTCAGAAACTGAAGGTTGGATCCAGATTAACTTTTTATGAATGGAGGTGTGGCTTCCATTCACAGAAGACCTTGGGAAGCAGCAGAGTCTTTCTGCTGTAGCAGAGGAGAGATGATCAAAAAGATGAGCTGAACTGATAAGACATTCCTCTTATGTTGTGTAGAAACTGCAGCAAGGGCAGGGATAGGATACAAGATGAAGAAAGAGTCAGACTTGTGATTGCAAGACTGACTTTCTTTTTCGTTCAAACTGTATGAAGAAATGGCTAAATAGAACCTGTCTGGGTAGAGGCAATATATCTCTAAATACCTGGGATGGAGGTAGGGGGCAAGCAGTCTCTGGTTGATTCCCTGTTGGTTATCCCCAGCTAGAGTATATCCACTAAAATACGTACATAAATCCAAGTGACACAATGGGTTTACACTTTTCAAGACTGACAAAAGAACTTTGCTTCAGAATGCCCCCAAATGCATTCTAGGGGAAAGAGAGGGCATTTATTCCACGTTTAGAGGTCCCTAATATTTTTTTGTACAGATCTCCAAAATGTTCACTAATGACCTCATCATATGAGGCTTTTTCCCAGTACTAGGGCGGTACCAAGATGCAACCAGTGTCACGATGGCAAGGCTCTGTCGTTATTCTGGCAGAACTGAACCAAACAAACTCCCAGTTTGTGTTAAACAATTTAATTAAAACAGCACATAGCACTCAGCCACAGAATATAAAACAAAAACTGCCAGCAAACACTGTTGCAGGTTCAAGATAACACTGTAGTCAAAAGGTCCAGTCCAGTGGTCAAACGCCGAGAGTTCAATGAACAAAGTCCAGGGATCAAGAGTCTATACCATAGTCAAAAGCCAGTCCAAAGATTCAAGGTTCCAAGGGTTCAAAAGACAGGTCAGGATACCGAAAATCCACAAACCTGGGGGAAAACCAGCAGCATCCACCACCAAAATAAAACAAATACTTTTCTCCTGAAGATCAGCTCTAAGGCTAGCTCCTTGTATCAAGAAATAGCCAGCTGCAACCTATCTCTTGCATACCTCCACCTTTTATTGCTTTCACCCATGAACTCTTATTTACAGATTAGCACCAACTGCTAGTCCTACCAACACCAACCACCATCAACTGCAGAACACGATACATGACAGCCAGGTTGGAGCCCATCACATGTTGCAGTGCCCCAGCTCCATTCTGGCTGTGTCTTGGCAGCATGTTGAGAGGCTGTCCTGAAAACATGGGTGACTACCTGTGTTCTCGTTCAAGAAGCTGGGGACAGTGCAGGACGAACCTGGGGGCAGACGGGAAACACCATGAGATGCAGGGCATTGCCTGATAGTTTCCCCCACTGTCCCATGGATTCACCCCACTGCCGCACAGATTCCCCCATTGTCC